TTGGCTGTTTCAGTATCCTGTTTTTAGTCTAGAACAGTAGACAAAGGCAGTAAAATTTAGGAGTCAAGGGGTGTTGTGGCTTCTGGTGGACAATTGCTGTGATGGTGGAATTGTCCAATCTATGCAGCCTTGCTCCGAAGCAACCTCGGATCACTCAGGCAGCGTCTCGTCACGATTGCTCTGGTTTAGTTCCCCAAATCTGGCAAAACCCGTACATCTTTTATTTTAGAAAAGCTATTCGTGGAAGAGCGATAGTCCACTTTCCCCTCCCAAGCTACTCAGCACCAAGGAAAGGATGACTGGGTTTTTCTAAAAAATGTCCTGTTAAGAAATATGCAGATGAGACCAAATAAAAGCGAAGGTGATTCAATTCAGTGTGAACCGAGTGTCTGGTTTACTCAGTTTTAACCACTCATCAGTTCTTCTCATGCAAAGGGCAGATGGGTGAGGGTGGGGGTGGGGTTAAAACAATCTCTACACACACCCCTTCTTTCTTGTTTTGGAGAGGCTGCATGGATTCTGTATCTGAAAACATCAGGCCAAGATGAGCAGTGAGAGCTACCAGGAAGAATAGGCCCATGAGGCTGGAGGCTAAGGATAGGATGCTTGAACAGGGGGTGGGGGGTGGACTAGACTAGGAAGACTCCAAGGTCTTCTGTTATTCTATAATTGTGTTGTTCTGTCAAGGAGAGCACCAAGAGAGTTTCACAGCCTGACTCCACCACTGATGCCCCCCTTTTTTTTGGTCTCTCCATATGTCTAGCTGGTAGTTATGTCTTTGATTCTGAGATGCCCACTAACATTTGTGAAGAAAAATTCAGATGTACTTACAATAATAATAATAATAATGATAAAGTTGGAAGGGACCTTGGAGGTCATCTAGTCCAACCCCCTGCTCAGGCAGGAAACCCTACACCATTTCAGACAAATGGCTGTCCAGTCTCTTCTTAAAAACTTCCAGTGTTGGAGCATTCACCGCTTCTGGAGGCAGGTAGTTCCCCTGGTTAATTGTTCTAACTGTCAGAAAGTTTCTCCTTAGTTCTAGGTTGCTTCTCTCCTTGATCAGTTTCCACCACTTGAAGAGGTGCTTCAAGTTGAAGATCACTTCGCAAGCTCCATTTATCCAATGGACAAAGTCTGTAAAAGGCTAAAAAGGCATTGATACCTTCTGTCTCTCTCTCTCTCTCTCTCTCTCTCTCTCTCTCTGTGTGTGTGTGTGTGTGTGTGTGTGTGCACTTCTATGCATGTGTGTGCATATATATACATCCCTGCGGGTTTTGGTACAAACAGACTTTATTCCCCCACAAGGGAGACTAAACAAAATAAAAATAAAAATTGAACCTCAGCCCAGAGGCTGCACAGCCATCCGTCCAGGATGCTTTAAACTGGACTCCCATGGCCGGCTGGGGAATTCTGGGAGTTGAAGCCCCCAGGTCTTCCCATTGCCAAGGTTGGACACCCCTGGGTGAAAGGGGAGGGAAGCATTTTATTATTTTATTTTGAAAATATATGGGGCCAACCAACTCTGGATAGCGAAAGTAAAAAAATAATAATAACATTCCTGTCCCAAAAAATAGATAGATAGATAGATAGATAGATAGATAGATAGATAGATAGATAGATAGATAGATAGATAGATAGATAGATAGATAGATAGATAGATAGATAGATAGATAGATAGATAGATAGATAGATAGAGAAAGAGAGAGATGTATAGATGGATAGATGGATAGATGGATAGATGGATAGATAGATAGAGAGATAGAGAGATAGAGAGATAGAGAAATAGAAGATAGAGAGAGAAAGAGAGAGATGTATAGATAGAGATGTAGAGAGAGAGAGAGAGAGAGAGAGAGAGCGAAGAAAGAGAGAGAAAGAGAGAGATGTATAGATAGAGAGAGATGTATAGATGGATAGATAGATAGATAGATAGACAGACAGACACACAGAGAGAGACAGACAGACAGACAGACAGACAGACAGACAGACAGACAATAGATAGCTAGATAAATGGATGGATGGATAAATGGATGATAGGAAGATAATGGTGCACACAGCCATTCCTTCTTCTGCTTCTCCCAAAACTCACAATTTTGAGAAGTAGCTGGGCTGAGGGACTGACCACAGGGTTCCATGTCTGAATGCCGCTTTGATCCTATGTCTGCTCTTAACCACTACATCACCTTGGCTCTCAGTGGTCCATGCTTGTCACTGTTCCTGATGTCATCAGGGCTCCTGTGCCCCTCCCTGCGCGGCAATTAATTAATCTCCCAAATCACATTGTTGTGATATGAAACAACATCAAGGGAATATCCTTTAAATTCCTTTAAATTCATGTAAATTTGGGGTGGGGGGGTGGGGAAGTTCTATGGAATTGAGCATGGAATTCTGTGTAATGTGAAGTACGTGAATTTTGCATTCTGTTATATATTTTTCTCCGTTTTCGCCGTCTTTGTCCATCCTTCTCCTCTTGCTGTTCTCTTGTTCCTATTGATTAGCTATATTTTCGTCCTTCCCACAATAACACCCGCAGGCGATATGTATACACAGCTCAATCATGTTGAAATTATAACCACTGCTTTATTTCTCCACCCTCTTTTTTTTTTAGGAAGCTTCACTGATGGAGTCTGAGCAGATCCAGGACGGAGATCCTTTTCCGCAGACAACTCACAGGACTCATGAAGCCGGTGATCCTGCCTCAGCCAGAAAGCACCGTGATGTCACAGAGACTATCATCATGAGTCAAGTTCCTGGAAGTGAGGAGGTGGAAGAAAAAGAAGACTTGTCTCTTTCCCGTGATCTAGCACTCCTCTTTGTTATGAAAGAACATTTATGGGATGGATCTTCTAGCTTCGTAGAGAAGGATACTTCGGAGGAACAGGAAAGAGGGCTGAGAGATTTAGAGAACTGGACAGGACATAATCTCAACAGAGGACAGCCCAGCTTGAAGGAGAGCAGGGAATCGTCCCTAAATTCCTTTGATGGGGAATTTGCGACTCATTCTTCAAGCAGTTTCCAGTCTTTCCTTTCAGATACCACCAGCCCTGCTCTTACCTCTCCCAGGAGGGTCAGAGCAGGACAAATGGAGAGCCAAGTCCATGACGTTAGCTTTGGCCCATCTCCAACTCGGTGTGACATGCTCCCTCAGACATGGCACGAGGAATCAGCAACAACAGACTCTCTCCCTGGCCAAAAAGACTCAGTCAATGAATCTCCTTTGGTGATTCATAATGTTTCACGTTGCCACAAAAGTGCTGATTTTTCCAAATCCAGATCAGATGAAGATCATTTATGGACGCTGGAGACACTGCAAGAGGAGAACGGAAACCTTTACGAAGGGATGGACGTTGTGGTGAGGACCAATGAAAGGGAAGAAGCGAGTCAAAGACTGAGCAATTCTTCCTCGGAAGAGGAGGAGTTAAATTTAGATGGGGCACAAAGAAACGCAGACAACGTTTTG